GTGGTTCAAGTCTAGGAGATTCAGAAGAGTGGATGGAATGGAGGGTGGAATGGAACTAGTGCTAGGAAATCATCTTGTCAAGTTAAGGACGAGGACCAAGTTGAGAAAGTCAAGGGTGGCAGAAGGTATGATACCAACGTCTCGATTAGTGTGAAGCATATGCTGTGAGATTGAGAGAAGTTCATTACGTCGCTGCTATATGATCTGAGCGCTCTCCTCTAGTGTTTATGGTGACTTGGTTTGTGGATAATGGTCTTTGGCAGGTCAAGTTCCTCGTCTCTTGGCCAGCAAGCACTGTGAGAGGCTCTCTAGGGGCTCGTTCATAGCCATGGTAGCGCACCATGGGAGCAGCAGGGCGGAGCAGGAAGAGTCCACGTACGGCGTCTTCGAACCGGAAGCGTCGGGAGCGCCATGGAGGAAGAGCTCGTCGAGCAGGCTCATCATGGCGGTGATGGCGTTGGGACTGTGTGGTATGATCGTCGTGGGCATGATCCTGCATGCGCCATACCTGCAGACGTCACTGCTCGGGGGGTCTGTTGACTTGTTCGACGTCTCAGCGGCGGACAGGCACAGGGCGAGGGGGCAGGCGGTGGAGATGTCGCTTGCTGACGTGCCTGAAGAGGGCCAGCACGTTGTGCACCTCAATGTTCCTCTCAAGGATGTGACTGGCTTGCGAGTTGGGTCGACGATGAAGGGGAAGACGGCGATGCTGGCATCGGGCGGTACTACTCCTATCAATGTCAAGGATTTCACCGGCAAGGTTGGTGGAGAACTCGTTGCCCATGGGCAGGAGGCAGGAGGCTGACGGTTGTGCACAGGTCCGATCGTTGCAGATGATCACAGTGCAAGGAAAGATTCAATCAGACGTAAGTTGCTTAAAGGATAAGGGCTGACGAGGCTGATTCTTGTGGGCAGGTGCTGGGGGAGCCGGACGAGGGAGTTGTGTCAGTGAAGCTGCTGACTGATCAGTACGTCGCTCCTGGTACGACAGTGACGGGGATGGTGGCGGGCAAAGTGTTCAAGGGAGTCGTTACTAAGGCCCCTTCTCTTGAGGTACAGTCCTTCTCCTGCGCACTTCTTCTGTCTGCCTCCCGCTTCTCGACCTCTCCCTACTTCCCCCCAGTGTGTTTATCTTAATGCTGCCCCCTTGGTTCTCCCTCCTCCCTCCTCCCTCCTCCCTCCTCCCTCCTCCCTCCTCCCTCCTCCCTCCTCCCTCCTCCCTCCTCCCTCCCTCCCAACGTTTCTTTCCTCCTGTTCTTCTGTCGTCCTATCCTCCATCTGCTCCTTCAACCTGCTGCTACTGCTGCTGCTGCTGCTCATGGATCTACAGAACCGCCTGGACGAGGCTGAGAAGCGGATGCGAGAAATGGCTCCTCCTGTCTGCGACGAGATCTGCAAGCTCGAGAAGGAGATCGAGAAGACGCAGAGGAGGATCAAAGACTACAAGGACTCGCGGCATCTCCGCAAGGAAGCAGACGCGCTGGAGAAGGTGAGGAGAGGGAAATCCCATTGGGAGGGGGGGGGAAGCGGGGGATGGAGAAGGAGGAGGAGGAGGAGGAGGAGGAGGAGGAGGAGGAGTTCGATGGTTGATGGTTGAAACAGCGGATGGATGCGCTGGAGAAGCCGCGTCCTCCTCCTGAGACGGTTGCGATCCTGGGGAACTGGGCTGGTTTCAAGTTCGAACTGCCTGATGTGAGGTAGAGATGTGAGGTTGGCGTTACATTGACCCTGTCTCAGGGTCCAGACACTTACGTACCGCGTCTGGAGAACATTGCGGATAGGATGGACAGCATCCCAAAAGGTGAGGATAAGGAAGTGCTGTGAGGGGGTGAAGAAGGAGCATGAGGAGGAGGAAAGGAGGTGGAGGGAGGGAGGGCAGACGATGGAGTCCAGCTGAAGTCCAACTACAGGATACGCTGTTGCCTTCCAAGATGTTTACAACACGACACGGAAACTGGAGAAGAAGCTTGACGAGGTCGAAGGATTGAAAACCACACAAGAGAGGATGAACCTCCTCCGCCACGAGCTCTCCGAGGTCCCGCACCTCCTCCTCCTCCTCCTCCTCCTCCTCCTCCTCGTACTTCTTCTTCTTCTTCTTCTCTGTTGATGCTGATGGTGTTAGTAATGGTAATGCGACGAGGCAGGATCGCTCGTAGTGTGCTACGACTGTGGTGGTGTGATGGCGGTGTCACCTCTGCTTCTTCCTCGT